AATTAATGATTCTCTCTCATCATTGATCTTTCTTTCTCTCCCTCTCCCTTCCTCTCTGAAATCAATAAGAGAAATATATATTTTTTAAGAAGTAAAAAGGGAAGACTAAGAGGTTTAATGACTTGCTGAAGGTGACACCAAGCTTGTAGCAGAGATGGAAATCAAACCCAGTTCTATCAAGCTTAACAACTCATGTTCTTTCCTTTGAGACATACATTTTAAAAATTGTTCTCATCTGCAGGAGCTACCAAAAAGTTGAAAGATTAAATTATAGTAAAAGAGTAAAAGAAATGCCACACAAGATTAGTTGAATTTGATCTGACTAATGTAAGGAGTGACATGGGGTTAAGTACCTGCTCTGTCACTAATTAGTTTTTGTGATCTCTGGCAAGTTACATAACTTTTCTGAGCCCAGGTTTCTCTGGTTGTTAAATGAGGATAATCCTAGTTATAACGACAAGATGAAACAATACAAAATTCCTGACACATAGAACACATTGGATAAGATATGATTATTGAAAGTGTCTGGCTTGGAAACAAATGGGTCACCTCTCTGTGTTGTTTATACCTTAGCTTTTCTTTCTTTGGCTCATGGGACATCCAAGGTCTCTAGAGGCTCAGGCAAAGATCATTTAAAGGACTTAGTTTCAAAAAGTTTGTCTAGAAAGTACTTTTGCCCGAGGATAAGCCATTTTTAGGAAGCTACTTGAGTTTTCCCCCATTACATCCTGTTCCTAGCTCTCCAAGAGAAGTGAAACTAAGGAGAGAAAAACAGAATTGAAAAAGAAAAAAAAGATCAGGTAACTGAACATCAGAAGCACCCACAGAGCCCTTTTATTGCCTTTAGCTGCATAACAGTGTCTGAGGTTAAAAACTGTACTTCCCAAAATTTTACAAAATAAGCTATTTCTTGTTTAATAAAACCTACTCCCAACACACACATGCCATTGAGAGGCAATAATAAAAGTATGAGCTTTGGCCCTGACCCATTTGGCTCAGTGGATAGAGCGTCGACCTGCGGACTGAAAGGTCCCTGGTTGATTCCAGTCAAGGGCATGTACCTTGGTTGCGGGCACATCCCCAGTAGGAGGTGTGCAAGAGGCAGGTGATCGATGTTTCTCTCTCATTGATGTTTCTAACTCTCTATCCCTCTCCCTTCCTCTCTGTAAAATATCAATAAAAAATATATATATATTTTTTAAGTATGAGGTTTAAAGTTAGAGAAAGCCTTGGTTTTAATCTTTGGTACTTTAATAGCCTTTGTTTTATCATTTTTTAAAAAAAATATGTTTTTATTGATTTCAGAGAGAGAGGAAAGGTAAAGGATAGAGAGAGAGAGAGAAACATCAATGATGAGAGAGAATCATCTATGGTTGCCTCCTGCAGGCTCCCTCCTGGGGATCAAACCTGAAACCCTGGGCATGTTCCCTGACCGGGAATCAAACCATGACCTCTGGTTTATGGGTTGACGCTCAACCACTGAGCTACACTGGCTGGACTGATTTATCAATTTATAACTTCTCTGAGTTTCAGTTTCCTCAATTGTAAAATGGGGATTGTACCAGCTACTTCACTGAGTTAATGTTTAGGGTAAGTGAGGTAATATTGTTCAATGTTTGATACATTGTAGACATTGAATACATGTTCAGTCTTTCCCCTTCCAAACATGGAAGATGACTCTTCTTGAAGACTCAAGTTGCCCTGTAATGTTTTGCTCTCTAGGCTAACCTCCCCTGATTATCCTTTTTTTTTTTAAATGTCTTTCTTTTTATTGATATTAGAGAGAGGGGGAGGGAGAAGGAAATAGAAACATCGATGAGAGAGAAAAATCAACATCGATTGATCGGCTGCCTCCTGCACACCCCCCTGCTGAGGATCAAGCCTGCAACCCGGGCATGTGCCCTGACAGGGAATCGAAACAGCGACCTCTTGGTGCATAGGTTGATGCTCAACCACTGAACCACACCAGCCAGGCTCTTTTATCTTTTCAGTTCTCTTTTATTTAAATCATTGTTCTCTGAATTTTCAAAAAAAATGCCTTCATATTGAAAATTTTGAGATAAATTGGACAAAGGGATTCTCTGAGATCTGAATAGTTCAAAATCTAGCAGAAGGATCTATGTTGTAGGAAAGCTTTAAATTCATAGGCTGCATTACATTGTATATAAACAAACCTTTCTACTGGGTTCGGTTTTTGTAGCCCTGCTTCCTATAAGGCGTACAATAGATTAATTGACTTTTGAAGTCTTCTTGCCCTAACCAAGTAAAGTTTCTGGAAAGTGTTATACAGTATAGCTGAAGGCCCTAGATGGTAGCAGTTAAGAAACACTGAGGTACATAGATAAAATGAAGTATGGCATTTATTCCTTTAGAACTTCTTTTAAGTATATTTTTATTGATTTCAGAGAGGAAGAATAGAGAAATGGAAACATCAATGATGAGAGAGAATCATTGATCTGCTGTCTCCTGCACGCCCCACCCCCCATTGGGGATCAGGCCCATAACCCAGGCATGTGCCCTTGACTGGAATCGAACCTGAGACCCTTAAGTCTGAAGGCTGATGCTCTATCCACTGAGCCAAACCAGCTAGGGCCCTTTAGAACTTTTGAGGATTGAGTACCGAGTTTTCCAGCCTAAAAACTCAAGAAAAGATGTATTCAGAGATGATGGTAGACTCAAAACTAGTGACTACAAAAAGTTAATATTAGCAGTTGGTGGGAAGGGGTGGAGGTTACCACCAGTAAATAGCAAACAAATAAGATGTTGAATGAAGCATTTAGTCTGTTGATTATAAGGTCAGATTTTTTTTCTATTCCAAGCAGTGAAAATAGTCACTGCCATTTACAGTTCCTCTCATAGGAGTAAATGTTTAGTTAAGGATACTTAGAGTATGATTAGCAGTTTTAATTGTCAGAAAGGAGGGAGTATGTGCTCTAGGATATAAGTAGGTCATTTAGCTCACTGTGTACTATAACATCTGACATGAGGCTTTTTAATAAACAGGAAGCTTTCTGTTTGAAATTCTGAACTCTTAGGAAGTCTGTGAGGGTCAAAGTAAATTTCCTTCTGCATCTGTGTACTTCACAATTGGACTTAGTCCAAACATCTTTTAAAACTGTCAAAATTTTAGATTTGCAGAATGTCTTTGAAGTAGTATATATTTTTTAAAAATATATTTTATTGATTTTTTTACAGAGAGGAAGGGAGAGGGATAGAGAGTTAGAAACATCAATGAGAGAGAAACATCGATCAGCTGCCTCCTGCACACCTCCCACTGGGGATGTGCCCGCAACCCAGGTACATGCCCTTGACCGGAATCGAACCTGGGACCCTTCAGTCCGCAGGCCAACGCTCTATCCACTGAGCCAAACCGGTCAGGGCTGAAGTAGCATATTTTTATGCCAAACCAGGTTTTCAGAGTGTGGTCCCTAGACCAGCAATATCAACATCACCTGGTAACTTGTTAGAAATGCAGGTTCCTAACACAAATCCTAGATTGGGGTTCTGGCCCAGCAGTCTAGTTTAATAAGCAAGCCCTCCAGGTGATTCTGAGGCATACTGAAGTTTGAGACCCCTTGCCTTAAAATTACAGAAGGCAGAAACTGTGGAAATATTATATAAGGAGAACATTTTGTGTTATTTAGAATGTCACACTGATTTTAGGGAATATAATTATGTATTTTGGGGGGAGAAGTATTGTTTGCTTCTCACATGTCCCCTGACCAGAAATCAAACCAGTGACCTTTCAGTGCACGGAAGGACACTCAACCAACCGAGCCACACTTGCCAGGGCGGAATATAAATTTTTTACTGTTCTCAGTACACCATAGAACCTTTTAATTGCTGTTCATTACCTACACACACTACCCCCATCTCTATTAGTATTCCTATCATAGCACTTAACTATACTTCATTGCTAACGTCATTAACTGAGAATTCCAATATATAAACATAGTGAAGTTGGGGACTATATCTGACTTGTTCTGTTATATCTCCTATACTTTATAGCAGGAGTGGGGAACCATTTTTCTGCCAAGGACCACTTGGATATTTAGAACATCATTTGTGGGTCATATAAAATTATCAACTTAAAAATTAGCTTGCTATATTTGGTCAAACATTTAATAACTCACCCCTAATGCCTTGGCAGGGCCAGACCAAATGATTTTGTGGGCCGGACATTCCCCACCTCTGCTTTATAGGATAGGTGCCTGGCCTTTAGTAAGTCTCGCATATAGGTTAATGATTATACCTGTTTCTCTCCTTTCATCTGCCTTTTTTTAAAGAAACACTGAAATGCTTGCAAAGGATGGGGTGGGTGGATGGAGTTCCCTAATGATAGGAAATAATTTTGGATGCCAAGGTTCTATCTGTTGAAACTGTCCTAACCTGCGAATTAAAAATACATTGGTGCATTTTTCCTTTAAGACATTGACTGGGTTTGGGCTAGCTACTGTCGATACTTCTCAAGAAATGGGCTTTAATTAGCATGTGTACATATGTTATTTTATTCTGTTTTTATAGCAGCCTCATGAAGTAGCTATCACCTCCATTTTGTACACGAGGAAACTAAAACTCAGAGCAATTAAATAACTTGCAAAGCTCACACAATTAGTGAGTAACAGTAAGAACCAGGTCTTTCAAACTCTTAAGGACTACTACTGTCCACAGTATTACTGTCCCTGGAATTTTAACAGGACTCTCCATTGTATATTTAAATTATTGATTTTTATTTTTTCATCAAGATACGACTTTGTACTTTTTCTTGATGCAGATTTTTATTTTTGCTTTTTAGTTCATTTATCCTTTTATCCTCATCTCTCCCCATTAATGTTGTTAAATCTCTTTATTCTAAGAAACATTTGAATGTCTCTAATGTAGACATTCAGGTGGGGTTTAAAGAGCAAACTGCTCTTACTAGGAGCAGGCTTTGGGTTTTCTGATCAAGTTAAGCTTTGGTGCTTTTAGTTATAGCACATTCATCTGAACTATTTGGTGTCATTACATGGTACTACATGTTATTGCTTTATGCAGACTTACAAATTTACCTTTATTCACCAGAGCAAAACTCAGTTAAATTCTGTTTCTTTTATTCAGAAATTGAGAAGATTCAGAAAGGGCTTTCAAAAAAGGACGATGAGGAGAATTACTTGGATTTATTTTCTCATAAGAACATGAAGCTGAAGGAGCGGGTACTGATACCTGTCAAGCAGTATCCCAAGGTAAGACAAAAAGTGCCTCATTTTTCTGAGTTGTCTTTGTAGGAGTGAGTCGTGAGCTCTAATAACGACTTCCAGAGACTGTGGTGCATCAGAAACTTAAGCCTTTGAATCTTCTCTTCCATACTGTGTACTTGTTTCTGGCATTTGAAACAAGTAAGTCCATAACTGATTGCATAGCTATAGCCAAGAAAGAAATGCAGTCATCTTATTAAAAAGGGTTTCTCAAATGTTTGTTCCGGCTCAAAGTTCAAAGAAAAAAAAATGAAACCTAAAGAGTTATTCTGTCAAAAGATTTCTTGACAGGAAATCAAAATGAAGGAAGTTATAGCATAAATCCTTGAAGAGGTGGTTAACTGTATTTTTTACTCAAAGTTTTACTTTTAAAAAAATGCTTTCTCGCCCTAACCGGTTTGTCTCAGTGGATAGAGAGTCGGCCTGCGGACTGAAGGGTCCCAGGTTCGATTCCTGTCAAGGGCATGTACCTTGGTTGCAGGCACATCCCCAGTAGGGGGCTGGCAGGAGGCAGCTGATCGATGTTTCTCTCTCATCGATGTTTCTAACTCTATCCCTCTCCCTTCCACTCTGTAAAAAATCAATAAAATATATTTTTTAAAAAATTAAAAAATGCTTTCTCCATCTACTCCTTTTTCCTTTTTTCAGGAAAGCAATTAGTTATATTTAGTTTACAAAAAGAAAAAGTACTAAACAAAGATTCCATGTTTGTGTTCTGAGGTGACTTCCTTAAAAATGTTTATGTATGTTAAAGTACTAGGGGTTGCAGTGTGATATTACATCTGAAATCCCAAAGTCAACTCTAGGAACTACCACTTTCATAACCTTAGGCTAATCACTTCATCAGTACAACCTCAGTGTATCCTTCGGTAAAATGGGAATGAAACTCTATCTGTTTTATAGGGTTGTTGAGATCAAATGAGATAGTACATGTGGAAATATTTCATAGGAGTATGAATATTTAGAAATCTCTTTTTATTTTCTGTCAGTTCAATTTTGTGGGGAAGATCCTTGGACCACAAGGGAACACTATCAAAAGACTGCAAGAAGAGACTGGTGCAAAGATCTCTGTGTTGGGGAAAGGCTCAATGAGAGACAAAGCCAAGGTAAGTTCACTTAGTGAAGCAAGAAGACACCCTAATGCAAGCATGTCAAACTCACAGGCTAACATCGGCCAAATAAACAAGGTGTAAGTTTGTGTGCTGCAAAAAAAACACACAAAAGCTTTGATTTTCATAGAAATGTAGGTTTATTTCGATAGAGACATGCTGAATACAAAGAGCTGAAATAAATGAGTAATCATTAACATAAAATAATAGACCATTTTAATAAAAATTAATATTTTTTCTTGAACAGTAACTTACCAAACACAGAATAATTGCTCAAATTAATAAGCGTAACGCAAATAAACCTATTTTTCTTGTTCTCTAAAAGCGAAATATTTCCTGTTGCACACACCAAACAACTCAGTACAAGACTAATGACGTGGCAATCGGCTGCTAAAATATTCGCTGCTAGTATTAGTGGAGAGAAATGGTGAGCCTGCATGTGAGGCACGTAAGCAAAATGAATGCAACACGATTATAGTAATCAGTCATTAGCGAATGTTGTAGTTCATTAAAAATTACATATAACAGGATATTATAAAAATCAAGTTAAGAAATTTTTATTAAAATTTTTCTTACATACTGTTATATTGGCTGGGCCACAAAAATATTCATTATTGGGCCGCAAGTTTGACATGCTTGCCCTAACGCCACCTTGTAGCCCAGGGTCCAGTATGAATGCCTTATGGAAACTAGCACTTGTATATATACAGAATGTGACTCCTTTAAATTTGTATTGGATGTAAGAGATTATATAGATCAAGTTAGTTTGTAACCCTGAAAGAGTCTAGGTATGCCCAGGTGATTGTTTTTTTCTGACTTTTGACTGCATAGTAATGGAAACAGCAGTGGCAACTATGGCATTAGAAAGCTTATCTATGAAAATTTGGAAGGGAAACTTACCCAGACTAAAAACACATTCTCTTTCCAGTAGCATGGAAAAGTGAGAGCAGTAGTGTTATATATGCAGGCAACACTGAGGATTAGTTGTCTGGTGGGTTTTTTTTTATAGCCAGCTTGAATTCGAGGCCTGCTAAAAGAAGGTATTCCAACAGGAGCCATGAGTAATCCTGACAACAAAATCTAACGCTTGTTTATTTTTTGTGTCATAGCCCAATACGTGTTGTATTCTTTGTAAGTGCCAAAACACTTCCCACCAACACAGAGTATTCCTAGCCTTCTAGGGTCAGGTTTTAGATGAGACATACATGCTACAGCCTAAAAACTTACTCTTTCAGGCCTCCTTTTATGCAGCCTAATTGATGAACATTGTTCTCTCAGACCCTCTTCTTTTGTCCATTCTCATTTCTCATTAGAAGAATCCAGTTAGGGCTGAAGTATGATATTCTAGCTAATGAAATTTACATGGGATTTTCTTCTCTCTATCCTAATTTCTTTCCTCCCCAGAACACACCAGGCCATGTAAGCACATAGGAAGGGCTGGTGATTACCAGCTCTACCTGGGATTTAAAAGCACATGCTTGGCAATGAATAAATGAGTCAATCAAGGGTTGGCAAACAGTGTAGAGATTCCTCAAAAAATTAAAAATAGAACTGCCATGCAAATTGTAATTTCACTTCTGGGTATTTATCCAAAGAAAACAAAAACACTAATTTGAAAAAATATATGCAGTCCTATGTTCAATGTAGCATTACTAATAATAGCCAAGATATGGAAGCAACCTAGATGTCCATCAGTAGATGAATGGATAGTGGGTGTGTGCTGGAATATTATTCCTCAATTTTAAAAAAAAAAGAATGAAATCTTGCCATTTGAACAACATGGATGAACAGGGTATTATCTTAAGTGAAATAAGTCAGACAGAAAAAGACAAATGTTGTATGATCTCATTTATATGATTCTAAAAACACAAAATAAATGAATAAACGAAACAAACACTCATTTAGAGAAGAAGCTGATGGTTGCCAAAGGGAAGGGGTGAGGAATGAGAATAAAAACAAATTAATTAAACTTTATTTTATTGTGCTTTTTCTTTTCACTTTGTCAAAAAAATTACTAAACATACAGAAATTATTGAATGTGACCCATAGCCAGTGAAGAAAATCAGCTGATAGAAAGAGGTCTGAGCCCTAGCCAGTTTGGCTCATGGATAGAATGTCAGCCTGCAGATTGAAAGGTCCTGGGTTGTGGGCTCGATCCCCAGTAGGGGGCGTGCAGGAGGCAGCCAATTAATGATTCTTTCATTGATGTTTCTATCTCTCTCTCCCTCTTCCTTATTTTCTTCTCTGAAATCAATAAAATATATTTTTTAAAAACAAGAAAGAAAGAAACCTGGAAATAATAAGAGATTTTGGGATTTGCAGACAAGACTTTAAAATAGTTATTATAGCCCTAGCTGGTTTGGCTCAGTGGATAGAGTGTCAGCCTGCGGACTGAAAGGTCCCGGGTTCTATTCCGGCCAAGGGCATGTACCTTGGTTGCGGGCACATCCCTGGTAGGAGGTGTACAGGAGGCAGCTGATCAATGTTTCTCTCTCATTGATGTTTCTAACCCTCTATCCCTCTCCCTTCCTCTCTGTAAAAAATCAATAAAATATATTTTAAAATATGTATATAATAAATTTGTTCAAAGATGTAGAGGAAAAATAATTAGGAGAGAGATGGAATGTATAGAAAATGAAAATGTAATAGCTGAAATGCAAATTTCACTGGGTGAGCATAATACAATGTAAGACACTGAAAAAGGAAAAAGAAGAGGGTTGTAAATCAGAGAACTTAAAGGCAGGACTATTCAGGCCAAAGTAAGAAGATAAAAAGGACTGAAAGAAAATGAACAGAGTCTTAGTTGCCTGTGGAACATTATTGTGCAATCTAACATTTGTGCAATTGTAGTTCTAAGAGGGGAGTCGGGGAGAAAACAATTTAAGGAAAAAGTTAAAAAGAAATAAATGTTTGGCAATGAATCAGTGATTGGCAAACACCTGTTACCTGAATGGAGACTGGAATTAATTTGTCTTTTTATACCATCTAATAGCTCCACCAGGGATTTAAAATAATAATTAACTTTTGGCAGCAAGACCAATTGTAGATTTAGCAGGTTGTATAAATTACTATTCTCCAGAGCTTGTTTTACTTTTTTCTTATGCTTTACTGTGTTCCTTAGATGTTTATAGTTATTCTTGCTGTTTCTTTGACCTTGAAGTTAAAGTTGTCATCAAGTACCTAGTCTGTGATGTGATGTTTTGTTTTCGTTTTTCCACAGGAGGAAGAGCTGCGCAAAGGTGGAGACCCCAAATATGCCCATTTGAATATGGATCTGCATGTCTTCATTGAAGTCTTTGGACCTCCATGTGAGGCTTATGCTCTTATGGCACATGCTATGGAGGAAGTCAAGAAGTTTCTAGTACCGGTAAGGAAATCTATATTTTTAACTTGTTTGACTCTGGATAGAGGGTCGGCCTGCAGACTGAAAGGTCCCAGGTTTGATTCCAGTCAAGTGCAGGTACCTTGGTTGCAGGCATATCCCCAGTTGGGGGCGTGCAGGAGGCAGCTGATCGATGTTTCTCTCATTGATGTTTCTAACTCTCTATCCCTCTCCCTTCTTCTCTGTAAAAAATCAATAAAATATATTTAAAAAAAATTTTGGCTCTCAAAAGAAATTTCAATCGTTGTACTGTTGATATTTGGCTCTGTTGACTAATGAGTTTGCCGACCACTGGTCTAGAGGATAACAGCGAGAAGCTTCTAGTATCCAATCTTCATGGATTAAATTTGAACTGAGTGTGTTCAGGGCTTTTTCTCCTGGAGGAGTTTTACTCAAGTAGCGTTTGATTAGAAAGAGACCTGATTAATACAGGCTTGACTGTTGATATTAAACAGATTGGTGTGCAGCTCCTTTGAGAATGTTATTGAGGCCCAAGAAGAGTTAGAACAGACCAGGTTACCTGTCTTGCTTAGAGGGTCAATTCTTTGAATAAATAGAAAATGGTGCAATTTTTGCCTTTTAGTAAGGCTCGGTAGTTACTAGAATTAACGTACTGTTGAATATTTAATAATCTGGAACCTTAGAAAGCATTTGCAGTACTATTCAAATAGAAGTGAGTAAGCATCATATTTTCATCATCAAAACTAATGGGGGTTACTACAGTTCTTGGTTTTCTTGACTGTGTAAAATGAGGGAACTAGAACAAAATGTGGCCCGGCCTGTGTGGTTCAGTGGTTGAGCATTGACCTATGAACCAGGAGGTCACGGTTCGATTCCCAGTCATATTTGTTTTCATATTTTTCTAGTCACAAATATTTTTGTTGGCTCCTAAAAAGAGCCTACAGCCTTGATACTATGTTCTTATATCCCATACAATAAGCAGACTCTATGTTGCAGGGTCTATCCCCAGTTGGGGGCATGCAGGAAGCAGCCGATCATCATTGACATTTCTATGTCTATCTTCCTCTTAAAATCAATTTTTAAAAAATTTTTTAAGAGAGAACTACATTGGTGTCCAGAGAATGTGAGGACTGGTAGAGCAAAAATTTATAAGCATTGTGTACCTACAATGCTGAGTTTCAAGGATTCCAACACTGTCTCAAGTATCTCAGCAGCTACTTTGCTTACAACTACCTTGTCTTCATTAGGATGTTCAACATGAAACAGCCAAATTTAAATATCCTGGAGAAAAACCCAGAGCTGGTCAATTTTTCCTTAAGGGAATTCTTTTGACTCTTTTTGAGGTGTTTTATTGAAGCATCCTGAGCCAATCCAGTTTCTGAACGTGACTACAGGGGAGTGCCCATCTCCTCTTTATCATTGGTCTCAGCATATTTCTCAAAAGGAATAGGCTTACAAGACTTCCATGTAAGTGGATCTTCAACAAAGATTCCTGCCAGGGAGATCTGGGTTTCCTCAGTGTTCATGTGGCATTTGGGAGACTCTAAAGAAATTGGCTGTCAATGGTCACTTGATTCCCCAGTGTGAGTCTTAAGCAGCAGTAATGTGTAACGTAGGAGGACGAGGTAAAGAGCTATGGAGGGGCATCTTTGTGGTGACTAGAATTTTCTATTCTTGAAATGTTATCCACCTGGACTGTATAAAAATGCATGTAGTATTAAGACTGAATGACTCTGGAGGGGGCGGTCAGTTGGGGGAAAAGACATACGTAAAACTTTAGACAATAAAAAAATTATTAAAAAAAAAAGACTGGATGGCTCTTATCAGGAAATATGTGAAAAGATTTGCAGATGACACTTGACTCAGTTCTTCCCTCTTGTGAAGGAAAAAGAATGAGCCTGTTTTTGCATCCATTACCAGAGTTGTACATTTTCCCCTTGGAGCCATTAACTATATCAGAGAGACTTCCAATACAGTAGGAAGAGCACTGGACTGGGAGCTTTATCTGCATCATCTTGAGCAAGTTACTATTTCATTTTTTTGAGCTTTATTCATCTCAAACATAATGTTAAGTAACTGGTAGGTGCATTGGGTCTGAAGTCACAAAAATGGCTCCTGGGAGTTCACAATCTAGTGAGAAAGACAGATCAGCAATTCTAAAATGATGTGGTAACTGCTCTGGTAGAGAAAATAAACATGGTGCCATGGAAAAAGAAGAGGGACTGGGAGGTGGCGTCAAGAGAAAGTTTTTCAAAAGAGGTAATGTTTTAGATTGTCTTGTAAGAGTGGGTTAAAGTCCCTCAGGTAGACAAGAAAAGGGTATTAAGTTTAGAAGCCCGGTGCATGACTTTGTGCATGGGTGGGGTCTGGCCCACCCACCTTATCTGGGTGGAGGGGTGATAAGGGGTGGGGTGGGGCCGGCCGGGGGAGGGGCCATGGGTCGTTGGCCCGCCGT